TCACGTCCCGGGAAAGAGCCCCCAGTACCCATTGAATAGGTTATGTGGATCTCAGAGCCGGCCTGGACGATTTGGAGAGAAGAAAATTCTTGATCCTACCGGGACTCGAACTCGTCCATCCCGTAGCCGGTCGCTATACCGACTACGCTACCCCGGCTCACGGAGAAGCCACTAGGAATATAAAATAACAAACAGCATCTGTTGAGCTAATCGTGTTCGGGATTTGCAGGGGGGGGGGTGTTGTAATCTGGCACCAGTGGCTTTTTCTCCGTCAGCCCAGTCTTCTTTATGCATATTTCTGGCCAAGAAGGGCCAAGTTGAACGCACTGTCTTCGCCAATTCAGAAATGGTCAGTGAATCTTAAACCCCAATAGCAGGATACAGAAGTATCATAGAGAAGACCCCACTGTTCAGTCATATATTTCACCATCTGAATGCAGTACTCTAAGTGAAAACACGAAACCTATTTCTGAATGTCTTAACCAGAGCAGAAACACAAAGGGAACTGATCCGTATTGCGTTGAGTGGGTAGCAGCTGCAGTCCAAGCTATACCAGATAGACGTGCTGCGTACTGACTAGCTGGATGGTCTGTTTACCCGTCCGTTCATTCTTAAAGCTCGTTCCACTACCGCTTGCATGTGCTCCTCACAGTGCGGGATCTGTATCCAGCCTTTCGAGAAAACCCGTAACGGGCGATAGACTTGTATCCACGTTCATTTTTCACATGGAATTTTCACGATTTGTTATCACTGAGCCCATGCGGCCCCGTGCCGCAGTGGCGGATAATTATCGTGAGGTGCTATTTGCTGGTGTATAGCACCGAACGTCTGAGTCGAGTGGTTAGAAGTCGTTAGTTTTCATGAGGTTCCAGGCTAAATTCGCGGCATCGCAGTGGGATTTATTTCAGTCTTTCGTGGTTTTACACAGTCCTTCATGTAGGCCGCGACTGGTTCCACATATACAGTATCTTTCATTCTGTATCATTCACAGCCATGTTCCCTTATAACCTAAGCAGTTTAGAAAGCGTCAGAAATACCCATCAAATACCATGATTGTTGCTGATGTAAGATGACCACTGTCGGTAGGTTGTGCTCTAGAATACTGTGTTCTTCAGGCGCCCTGTGGTTTGTGCTGGTACCTTGTTAGACTCATTCGCTAACATTATAATCAGCTTTTAATTCACTGATTCTGTATAATGGATACATTTTGCGTCTTTATTACTTCAAATACTACGGTTGTAATAAACAGTCGAGCCAGGACGTTCCAGAACGGCGCCCTTGCTCTTCTTTTAAGACATTGATACGAAGCATAAAGCACAAATACAGTAGCTCAGTTAATTTCCGACCCCTGAGGTGGAAGCATCAGCTTTAAGAATGCCATTTTATGTTCAGCATAAAGCTATCGCTCGGTAACGAGAGCGACGTCGTATCGTAATTTGCATCCATTTATTTCGACCTGGAACTGCTTATCAGACCGCCCAGGCGCTTTCATGTGTGGGATTACAACCCTAGATAAGATGTAGTATATTTTGAAGGCTGATTAATTTGCGCGTCATACATAATTACAGACATTTTTATGGAGGAAATTGGTTAATTAGAAATACTCTGCTTCGGAGCAGAACGTTTATAAAATCTAGTAATATGAGGTTGGCGGCTGTTGCCGAAAGATAGGAGCGTAGAGTTGCGATAATCATTTCCCCTTCACGGCTTCTTGTTTCTTCAGATCGCTGCGTTATATAACCATGCTTGCAGGAAAGGTTATTGCACTGGTGTAAGTGAATGTGTACTGGTACCGGTTGTTATGGGAACGTACAACTGTACGGGCTTGAGATGAAAGGTGTTCATTGTTATCAGTATGTACCTCATCGTCTTACTCGTTTTGCATCCGTGACAGCCCCCCCCCCTCCACGCGCGAGCCGTGATAGTATGGCCCTGTGACAATTATTGCGGTCGACTTGACGTTTGTAGGTTATGTATGTAATGTCCCGTTTCAATAGAAGTACATCTCTTTTGACATTACGAATTTATATGCACCACATACAGAGAACGGTATACATGTCAGAAAGTGCGCCTGTCTCGCCTCTCAGATGATTTCGTACATTATGTTGAAATTTAGTATTAAAGAAGATGGCAAAAAACTTTTTTTATGGTAAAGGTCTGCAGTAATACTGCATATGAAGCTCAGACCGAACTTTAACAAATTTCCACCAAATGTCGCGGCCAGTTGGGTTAGTATTTCGGCTTCCTGTTTGGGAGATGCAGGGTTACAGTCTAGGCCCAGTGGCTTTCCCCATTTCCTCCAAACAAATGTTCGAATAGTATATAAAAATGTTCCTCAATACAGCTAGTTTTACAGTTTACCTTTCTATGTAAATGGGTACTGTAGCAGATTTCTTCCATTTCTGTGGTAATATATGGGATGTCCCAGAAGGAAAGGTCACTATTCTGGGAGATCGTAGTATCAGTCATTCTAAGCAAAAAATGTTTGTGTCCTATTCGAAACAGTTTTTGAGATAGAGCTATTTCACTGTACAGTATGTGGATGACCTGCATAAACGAACGTCAGGATGCACTCAGGTGAGCAAAACGCTGTGTCCTCGCACAGGTTGCAAAGTGCATTGATGTTGACAGTGGAAATTTCGAAAATGTATTATACTAGGCAAACTGTACCAACTTTTGTCATTTGAACAATAAATACCAGTATTAGAAACAGTACATAATATCTCTTTCTTAAACAATGTTGGAACTGTACAGTGAAATAGCCCTATGTCAGAAACCAGAATAGGACACATGTACATATACACTTTTTTTTGCTTAGAATGTCGGATACTGTGACTTCGTAGAATATTGACCTTCCCTCCTGGGATGTCTGATGATGGCAGAAGTTACAGAGACTGGCAGTGAGTAAACAAACAACGCATGGAGTTAATATGGAAAGGTTCAGTCTCAAGAAATTAAATGAGATAGAGGATAGAAAGCAGTATTGTGTTGAAACCTCAAATAGGTTCGCATCTATGGAAAACTTAGACACTGAGGGGATGTTAATTGAGCTTTGGAATCTATTAGAGAGAATATCAAAATTTCAGCCAAAGAAAGTCTAGGTTATTATGAACTGAAGACACGTCACGGTTGGTCGAAGGATGCTCAAAATTATTAGACCAAATGAAACGAGCCGGCTTGCAGTGGTTACAGGATCCAAGCAAAATAAATGGGGGTAATCTGAACAATATAAGATGTGAAACCAGCAGGCATTTCAGGAATAAAAAGAGGGAATACCTGAAAGACAAAATTGAAGAGCTTGCAACAAATAGTAAGAACAAGAACACCATAGAGACTTGTATAATGAATAAATGACTATTAAGAGGGTTTACCAACCTAGAAGTAACTTAGTGAAGGATGAGAATGGTGGTCTGCTTGCAGTTCCCACAGCATTTTGAAGAGGTGAACTACTTCTGTCAGTTATTGAATGTACATAAGGTCAGTGATGTCAGGCAGATAGAAATACATACAGCTGAGCCGTTAGTACATGATCTAATGCTTTTGAGGTTGAAATTGGTATTGCAAAATTGAAAAGTTATAAATAGCCAGGTAGTGATCAAATTCCTGCAGCAATGATTCAAGAAGGAGGCAAAATATTACATCCTAAAGCACTTGCTTGGAAGAAGTTAATGTTGCATATCAAGTAGAGGTGACAGTCACAGAAAAATGCCAGAATGTACTGTTCCACCATTTTCTGATAAAATATTTGTTCAGCTACCAGATTTTTAGACATTTTTTGCAAAGGTAAAGTTGTCCCTGTGCTTAACTAACTAAGCACTACACCAACACCATGAAGATGTATGGGAGAGTGGATGTGTAGATCCACATTTTCTTGACCTCAGCACTAGTTGGAGGTCAGTGGTCAGCTTCATGCCCAAGCCACTTTACCTACTGGGAAATAGCCCACAGTACTCATTGGATAGGAGGCTTGGTGGACCCCAGTACCAGTCTGGACAATGTGGAGAAAAGAGAATTCTTGACTTTACTGGGGATCGAACTCTGACCTCTGAGTTGTCCTGTGTGTAACCAGTCGCTATCCCAGCTCCCAGACATTTTTATGACACTTGTGACCTCCTGTGTGGTGTGGTGGTCAGCGTTCCTGGCTACAGATCTAGAAGTCCGGGTTTCATCCTGGCACTACCAGATTTTTTCTGAGAAGCAGCGGGTCTGGAACGGGGTCCACTCAGCCTCATGATGATAATTGAGGAGCTATTTCAAGGAAGTAGCGGCTCCAGTCTAGAAAACCAAAATTAACGACCATGGGGATTTGTTGCACTAACCACGTGACACCCCCTATCCACTAAGGTTGGCACTAACTTCGCCGACAAGCGGCGGTCGCTCGGTCGGTATAGTTCACTTGCGGACTAAATCACAGAGTTTGTTTGTAAAATATAATGGAATGCTAAAAAAATAATTGGAAAAAGTAACGACTTCTTCTTTTTCCTAATTTTGTGATAGTAGTTAAATCAAGGAGGTTCAGCAGACTAGAAGTATATGCCATTTTGATAAAATGTCATAAAAGTCAATCAGTTGGAAGAAGAGGATCAAGGTGTAATAATATTTAACTTCATCATCTGGAAATAAGGGATTTAATCACTCAGTACTACGGGAGTTGTGGCTGGATTTTAACTGTAACAGTACTGATATTGGGCAGCAGGATTGTGCACATGTTCTTACAGTAGTGCAGCACATGGCCAGTAATGGATAAAATAGATTTGAAAGTATGATATGGTAACACTGAGTTGACCTTACTACAGAAAGGATCCAGTGGTGAGCATTTTTAACCCATTTTAAACCTTATCACAGAGTGTATTGATTAGTTGAGCCTTCTTGAAAACCCTTTAAATTTGCTCTTAAGGACGGTCATCTCATGGCTTACATTCTTCTTAGATGCCCCTTCCCCCATTTACAGATATAGATGTGCACAAGTGTTATGTCATATTTCTGTTTTGTGATTTTAGCTCACAAATGTGGGTATCAACCAAGCAAGTGTGAGCTTCAACACGCTCACAATGGAGTCAGACAAATTCATCTGTGTGAGGGAGAAGGTGGGAGAGACATCACAAGTGGTGATAATTGACATGGCTGACCCAACTAATCCAATTCGACGGCCCATCTCTGCAGATTCAGCTATAATGAATCCAGCCAGCAAAGTCATTGCTCTCAAAGGCAAGGCAGGAGTTGAAGGTAGCTATGGTGTATAAGTGATATCAATTATTCACAGAGGGTACTATGTAATGTCAAACTTTTTTGAGAATGATATTCAGATAGGGTTACGTTGGTATCGTTTTAATAACAAGTATATACGTTCACTTCAGCATTAGTGTTTAAACTGATGTTGAGATTAATTGTTAATGAAAATTAAGTGAAATAAACTGTCAGTATTCTGTAGGTGTTACGCTCGTTGGGCTCTTAGTTGGAAGTTGAAAATATGGTTGCCAGATAAGCTGTGGTAACTGAAAAAAAATTGGCTTGTATCTGATTTCCCAGTCAGCATTCAGAATTTGGCTGTGTTACTTCTGACAGTCTTACTTGGTCACTTGCAGGACATAGGCAATGGTGAGCCACATCCAGAAGTAGGTAGGGTCAACATAATAAGTCATAACAGTTAATTTCCTTCAAATCTGACTTCTTCCCCCGTTATTGTATGCCTGATATACATGTGTTTAGGACAGACAGTACCAGCAGCTGGAAGAAATTAATTTTGTATGTCAGTTGGAGGTGGGAGAAGCAGTGAAAGGTTCCAGAAGTTACTGAACCAGCCTTTCTCTCATGACCAAAATATTTATCTAGCTACTAGTTAAAAAGAACTTTCATGCTGCTGAATACAAATTTATTTGGTTAATACTTCAGAGTGCACAGTGGCAAACCCCTGTGTTGTACAGGATGTAAGATGTTCAGAAGTAATGTTGGGTACCTTTATTCATGCATCTTGTATATAAGTATAGTTTCTGTTGGAAAATTTTCCATTTGCACTGCAAAATGGATATGATACAGTTAATGGAGTTTCATCAGAAGTTACAGAATAGTTTAGGTATCTTAGTTCGACATATCATTGTGACAGCACTGACACTTATATTGCCTATGATTGGTTTGGATGAGAATTTTTTATTGCAACTTTTTCAAATCATACTTTTTCACAGCCCTATTATTCCATTTCTTACTGCATGATGGAAGGGGGCCACATAGCATAGTTTGTTGAGTCACTGTGCTACAAGCTGGAAGGTCATGGGTTTGATTCCCAGTGGGGTCATTGGATTTTTCATTTGACCTAATCCTTCCAGCTGCACTGTGGCCCTGGGGTTGACTCAGCCTCTAAGAGAAAGGAGCACCAGGAATCTTCCTGGAGGTAAGGGTGGTCAGCATTTTACAAGGAAAAACTGTACCTTTACTACATGATGATATATTGATCCTGTAATGTAATTTGTGAAAAATGGTTGATGTTATAGAATCAATTCTGTGCAACAGGTATGCAGTGAACATCAAAACAATTAATTTTTAATCTTATGTTAACGGTTATACTTCACAAGTATAACTGTTAATGAGCTTGCAGTGAACAGTGAGAACAATAACATTAGAGACCTGTATAGAGGAATAAATGAGTTTAAGAAGGGTTAGCAAGCTGGAAGTAACTTGAAGAAAGCCATCTTCTGGGATGTGGCACCGTGTAGAAATTGTGTTAACCGATGTCCCTCTGAAACGTTGGTTAACACAATTTCTACACGGCGCCACATCCAAGACAACGGCTTTCTTCATAGTCACCGCCGTGAAAACCTCAAATCTTACATGGAAGTAACTTAATGACGGATGAGAATGGTGATCTGCTTGCAGATTCCCACAACATTCTGAATAGGTGGAAGAACTACTTCTCTGTTATTGAATGTGTGTAGGGCAGTTATGTTAGGCAGATAGAAATACATACAGCTGAGCCGTTAGTACCTGATCCTAGTCCTTTTGAGGTTGAAATTGCTATTGCAAAGTTGAAAAGGTATAAATCGGCATTTAGATTTAATGATCAAATTCCGGCTGAACTCATGCAAGCAGGAGGTGAAATATTACGTTCTAAGATCCATAAGCTAATTACTTCTATTTGAAATAAGGAAGAATTGCCTGATCAGTGGAAGGAGTCTATTATTATACCGGTTCACAAGAAGGGTGGTAAAACTGACTGTAGTAATTATCGTGCGATATTACTGCTATCAACTTCATAGAAAATTGTATCCAGTATCCTTCTCTCAATGTTAAGTGCATATACAGACTAAATATTGGGGAACATCAGTGTGGGTTTTGACATAACAGATCAACTGCAGGTCAGATCTTTTGCATTCATCAGATATTGGAGAAGAAATGGGAGTACAATGAGACGGTAAATCATCTGTTCATAGACTTCAAAAAAGCATATGATGCAGTTAGAAGTGAAGTATTGTAGAGTATCCTCATAGAGTTTGCGATAGCCATGAAACTGGTCAGGGTGATTAAAATGTGTTTAAACGAAATGTATAGTAAAGTCTGTATAGGTAAACATTTGTCTGATAATTTTCATATCCAGAATGGTCAAAAAGAAGGAGATACTTTATTGTTGTGGCTTTTTAGCTTTGTTTTAGAATATGCCATTAAAAAGGAGCAGGAAAACCAAGTGAGACTGAAATTAAATGGGACACATCAGCTGTTGGTATATGCTAATGATGTGAATCTTTTGTGAGATCACGTAGGTACCATAAAGAAAAACACAGAAACTTTGACACTTTTAAGGAGATTGATCTAGGAGTAAACATATAGAAAACTAAGTATATGCCGCTGATTCGTCACCAGAATGCAGGGCAAAATCGTGACAAAAACATAGCTAAGAGATGTTTTGAGAATGTGGCACAGTTAAAATATTTGGGAATGACAGTAACAAATCAAAATTAAATTCAGGAGGAAATAAGAGGAGATTGGACTCAGGTAATGCTTGCTACCATTCACTCCAGAATCTTTTGTCCTCATCTGCTATCTAAAAACAAAAATTAGAATGTACAAAACTATAATTTAGCTTGTGGTTGTGTATGAGTGGTATTAAGGAAGGAACATAGTCTGAGTGTGTCTGAGAACAGGGTGCTGAGGAAAATATTTGGACTGAAGAGAGATTAAGTGACGGGAGGTTGGAGAAAACTGCTTCGTAACTTATGCTCTTAGCCAAGTATAGTTAGAATGATCAAGTTGAGGAGGATGAGGTGGGTAGGGCATGTAGCAGGGATGGGGGAGAGAAGGAATGCATATAGGATATTGGTGGGAAAGAGAGATAGGTTGGGATGTTATGGATTGGATTGATCTGGCTCAGGATACGGACCAGTGGAGGGCTCTTGTGAACATGGTAATGAACCTTTGGGTTCCACAAATTGCTGGGAAGTTCTTGAATAGCTGCACAATTGGCAACTTCTCCAGAAGGGCTCAACTCCTTGAAGTTAGTTATACTTTACAGAAGTGTAGTAATTCTGTAATTCTTGTGATATGGTCCAGTGGCAGGCTCTTGCAAGCATGGTAATGAACCTGTAGATTCCATAAAATACAGGAAATTTGACTAGCTGAGCTATGATTTTAAGAACATCTCAAGAAAACTGCCCTGTGTAGTTAGTGAGTTGTAATTAATTTTGTTGTATAATATTCAGTTTTACAGAAGTTTCAGGGTAAAAAACGTAAACCAACCAATTCTGCATGCTGCAGTTCTTTTATGTCAGCCAACTTTAAAATTTATGTTCCTCTGTTTAAACTGATTTGCTTAGCAAAGTGACATGAATGGGATGTGTAAAATTCCTGTCTTTCTTGACTCATTCAGATCAGACAATTACTGTCAACTTCTTGTCTCTGGTGTGTAGACATATTTGATAAGATTTCTGAAAGAAAAGATATGACACATCTTTCAGATAGCTTGTTTATACAGTTGATATCAGGGCTTCATTGGAACTGAACAGGCCACATGCCAAAGATGTTTTTAATAATATATTAAAATGTTAACCATTCGTCCACTTTATGCAGTTTACCACTGTGCATACATTAACCACTCAGTCTGTTTTAAGCTTCAAACTTGCAGGTCAAAAATAAATGTCTAATACAGAAAAGATTAAGGATGCCCTTTAAGTTGCAGCTTTCTACCAAATGAAAATTTATGACAGAAGAAATTGTAGGCAGCAGCATGATACAATCAATTCTTCATGGGTACAGGACATCAGTTTAAATTTGCACAGTTTAATGTAACTGTGGTATCCTTGTATCTTAATCAAGGAACTGAAATAAAGTAAAAAGGTTATCATTTTCTGATCCATTTGTATTGTTGACTACCAAGCTTTTCCTCCGTTTCCATTTCACTGCCAGAAGTGAACATGCAAACTTAAATTGAACTTGCATTAGACATTTCTTGGTTTTGTTTCATCATATTGGTTTGTATTTGAGGGTATTGATATTTTATATTTTGTACCTCAACAGCCCAGAAAACATTACAGATATTCAACATTGAAATGAAAAGCAAGATGAAGGCTCACACGATGACTGAAGATGTCATATTTTGGAAGTGGATTTCCCTGAACACTTTGGCCTTGGTTACAGAAACCTCAGTTTTCCATTGGAGTATGGAAGGTAAGAACTCAAAAATGTAAATTTCAGTGGTTAGTGGTTAGTTAGTACATTAAAGACTTCCATTCCATGTTCAGTATAAATTTTTTTAAGCTTGTTTGATCTTAACAATGAGAAAGGTTATGAGCTTTACAGAGTTTGGTTTTGCATTTTTAACAGATCCTCCCCGCTTTACCCTTATAGTTGCTTTTGTCCTGTTTCCTGTTTCCTGTGTCCTGTGTTCTTAATACTCCCCTGGTGGACTGGGATGTCCAAGTTATGAGCATTACCCAAGAAAAGTCAGCATCTTCAAAATAGTTATTTAATAATAGTATATAACGTCAAAAAAATAGCACAATAATTACCATAACAATAGTAACAGAATAATAATAAATATCTACAACATTTGCAGACAGTAAGAACATTACAAAACTCTGACCATATTTTCATCTTTGCAACATTATCGAAACTGTAACTTGGTCAGTCCAGACAGAAAACACAGAAAGGAACATAACTCACCACTTTGAATATTACCCCATTATCATATCGAACAGAAACACACATGGGGCAGCGGAAGCCTAAACATATACAAAACAAACCCCAGCAAAAACCCTCACTGTGTTTCCAAACTCAGTCACCCAATGGGGCAGTACCAGCCCAACCACATAATAAATTCAAACCTTTGTTGCAACACTCCTGACACACACAGTGCAACAGTGCTGTTCCTTGCCTTCAATGGCAAGACTGAGAATCCAAACAGAATTTGGAACACGCAACCAAAGCTGAATTTCACCACCTCCCTCGCTGACCACTGACAAATGAAAGACAAACTTCCAACCCTCAATACTTAGAAGGAGGGCTTTCATTCTAAACAACTGAAGCAAGGGGAAATCACATCATTCATGGGAATATTGTGAACTTGTGAACTGAGGAAGTTATGTCACAGATGCAGGGAGGGGATGAAAGAGGGGAGGATACCGGACTGAACGGCAGCTCTTTGACCCATCAGGTTGAGTGTGGCTCAAGTTTGATTGAGGCCATGTTTCTGGCCAGGAACATGTTTGTTTCTTACTTCTTAAAATCATTTCTTTCATTCACAGGTGATTCAATTCCACAGAAAATGTTTGACCGTCATTCTAGTCTTAATGGCTGTCAAATAATCAACTACCGAACTGACCCCAAACAAACATGGTTGCTTCTCATTGGAATATCGGCACAGGTATTTATTATAAACCCCACTCTATTAAGTAATGTAAAGGCTAACATATAGGTAGCATTATTCTGTACAGGAAATAGAATGTAAAATTTAAAGTAAGTAGTTGTTACAATTTTTATTATTCCCAAATAAGGTATCATAACAGAATATTAATCAAGTGTCTGCATATGGCATAGAATGACCTTGACAGTCTTCCTGAGACTTACTAAAATGATTCAAAATATGAGATGTCAGGATCTCATTGTGGTGAATATTTAGATTGCAGTATTCTGAAATGTAAAACCAAATAGTTTGGTAAATACATGGTAAGGGTTTGGAGAAACATGGCTGCCTCCATTTTCTGGGTGCTGAATCTTTCACTTTGAATATGGAGGTCCCAGGTTTTTCCAAGCTGTTGGAACCTGTCTGCTCCAGACTACATAGTGTCACATTCCAGAAGAATGTAAACCCATTGATTCAAAATGTTTTACATTAAAAAGTGAAATACTTTATCAGTCATGAAAATACAATCATTTTTTTATTGCTAGTGGGGTGGGACTAAGTCCCTTGTACTGCGGCCACTTCTGGCCTATTGTACCAGCCCCATATGATAGGCGAGGGTGATTGTGGAACAATTGGTGGAATGAAGATTGGCAGAGGAAACCGAAGTACTCGGAGAAAACCTGCCCCAGCGCCACTTTGTCCACCTCAAATCTCACTTGACCAGACCCAGGATCGAACCCGGGCCGCCGTGGTGAGAAGCCAGCGACTAACCGCTTGAGCTATGGCGCAGCCTAAAATACAGTCATAGTATTACATGGAAAATATTTTAAAATTAAATAATATATGGATATAGGTCTTACCTTACTACCACTTTGTTTAGCAAAACCGTGTGGTTGGAGCAATGCAGCTGTATTCAGTCGAGAGGAAGTGCTCTCAACCCATAGAAGGTCATGCAGCATCATTTGCACAGTTTAAAATGGAAGGAAATGCAGAACCATCTATTCTTTTCTGTTTTGCAGTACGGACAGTCCAGGGTGGAAAGGTAATCTGTATTTTGTTTGAAACCCATCCATGGGAGTATGTGTGGAACTTCAGAAAAATGCTTGCATCATTATTCTAATATAAGTTGCCTGATCCCTGAGTTTCCAAGACTTCCCTGAAGATATGTACTAGATCACAGTTAAAAGTACTGGGTTGAATATGGCTAATACATCTACAGATAATATTTCATGTTTACTGAAATACAGGACTGTTTTTATCATAACTTTGGTATCTGATTAAATAATGGCTGTCTTACAGTCACATACTTTAAAAATGATGCACTAGAATTAGAGTGTTTACATCAACAGTATTTCTTTGCGGGACATGAATAAGCTTTTCTGAAAATTTATACCATTTTAAGGTGGGGTCATCTTACATTCGGGTAAATGAAATATAAATGGCTCTTTATAGTGTGTTTTAATGTAAATACAGTATTTTTGATATTTTAACTGCTGTAATTTAAATATTAAATTGATAACCATGGAGTGATTGAGTAGATGGTAATGTGTTTAAGGTAAAATATCTTAGAAGGACAAAACATATGTTCCCTGAAGATACATGTATGAGTGTTGTGTCAGTAAGAGTATTGCAGTTGATGGTGTTTCATTTGAAGTGTTGGCCTGTTGGTTTCAGATTCTGCATTAGCATGTTTGTATCTGAATTATTTAATCAGCTTTGTGTTTTGCATTTTTAATCACAGCTTCACATCATTGAAGTGGGACAGCCTCCTGCAGGGAATCAACCATTTCCAAAGAAGGCTGTTGATGTCTTCTTCCCACCTGAGGCACAAAATGATTTCCCTGTAGCTATGCAGGTTAGTGAATGTTGTGAATTTTAAGATTACAGTCTAGTCATACACCCTTGTTGCACTTCTTAGGTGTGATGAATAAGATGAATATGAAAGGACTTTGCAGAGTTCTTTGTTACAGACATCACCAAAGAAATAAGCAGCGGAACATTGTGAAGTCTAATGCACTGCAGGTCTCAAGCTTTGTACGTGATTTGATATTTGTTCCTATTTTAATTATGAAAATGTGTATCTGTGCTCACACACACTAGCTATAGAATATATATGTCAAGGTTGGAGAAGGACTGAGGAAAAAGAAGGAACATGTAGCTTGAAAGTTTGTTCAGCAAAATGTGGTTTACAATTGAATCACACTTGTGTATGAGAAACAAAGATTCCACCCAAGATTCATAGATTTGTGATTTCTGTTTAAAGCACATAAGTATAGATCCTGAAACTCATTGCATCAAATTCCCACTTTCATTTATTAGAAGTACATAGGTAAGTTAATGTTTTCAGCATGTGAATATCTAAGCTTTCAGAATAATGATTTTCTTTTAGTTTGATTCATGGTGTAAATGTCCTGGCTGAGAACTCAAACATACAAATTACAGGTACTCGTCATTATATGTGAGTTAAGAAAAGTAATTTCATTTTAATGCCCTCGACTAATCTGTACTAATTTCAGGTGCTAGCACGTCCTTTAATGTGAATTGCTTGTTGACCAAGCAGGAGAGGCAAAGAGAAGGGGGAGTGAAGTTGTGTTTTGGTGGCAGAGGAGGACTGCAAGGGGAGAAGGGAAAATGTTGTTTGTTCATGTGATTTCACCATTTGCAACCTCTTTTAAATCAACTCTCACATAAATCAGAAGTATACCTGTACACCCAGTGCAACTATTCAGACACTTTGCAAAAAGTAAAAAAAGAATGTTCCTCATTACAGTATTCCTATGCATTTAACTAGCTTAATTGTAAATATTTAAGTGAATTATAATTAGCACTATACTATATATTCCTTCCAGCTGCACCATGGCCCTGGGGCCTACGCAGCCTCTAATTGAAAAGAGTATCAGGAATATTCCTGGGGGTAAAGGTGGCCAGCGCGTAAGTCTCGCAACCTTACTGCCATGTGGGCGCCTCAACACGGGCCTCCAAGGCCCATTACAGAGATACCTTTACTTTGCTTTAGTTTATGTATTATTTTGAAAACTGCAGTCTTGCAGATATTAGCAACTTTAGTCTTGAATTTTCCTTCTAACTCCCAAAGAGAAAAGAATTATTCTATGGACAAAAGAGTCTGGGAAACTGGTGTGAAATAAGTAGTATGCATTGTGCTCTCAAAAATATTAATTTTGTTATGTGTGTTTATAGTAATATTTTCTTTTTACTCTTCATCAGGTGAGTGGCAAATATGATGTGATCTATCTCATCACAAAGTATGGCTATGTTCATCTGTATGATGTAGAATCTGCCACATGCATCTATATGAATCGTATTAGTGGAGACACTATCTTCGTGACTGCCCCACATGAGTCGTCTGGAGGAATTATTGGTGTCAACCGAAAGGGACAGGTTTTATCAGTGAGTGTGGAGGAAGATAACATCATCCCATATGTTAACAGTGTTCTTCAGAACCCTGATCTGGCCCTTCGCATGGCTGTGAGGAACAACTTGGCAGGTGCTGAAGATTTATTTGTGCGGAAATTCAACCTGCTTTTCCAGAATGGTCAATATGCTGAAGCAGCAAAGGTTAGAGCTCTTTTAATTCTTCTGTGAAATCATGTCTGTTATATGTTGTTATATATTTAGTGACTAGACATGGGGTCTGGGTTGATAATTGGATTTTTAAGTTATGTAAATCGTAACTGCAAGTAATTGTAGCACCCTGACTAATTTATGCAATTGACTTGTCACTACAGCACACACCACTTCTTCTTCTTAATCTTGACTAGCCGTTGCTAGGGTATGGCTCCCAGCAATGTAGATTCTTCAGCTTCCATGTTCAGTGGCGCCTGTCCTCACTGGCTGGTTGCTCTCACATCTAACCCATGCTCGGCCGTGACCTTCTTGCATTCTCAACTGACTGAAACCTCCTGTGGGTTCTCCTTATATAGCCTCAGCACAGACCACACAGAGAACCGCTTCCAGCAGCTCTGTTGTTGTGTGCATATCTATTACAAAGGAAACATATTTATCAGCCATTGCCTAGCAACGGCCATCTGTTCTGTGTCTATTATTCTGGTCTTTATGCTGCCATGTCACATTATTTAGGAATTTTGTGTTTGTCATTGGCGAGTAACTTGATCCTCATATCCTCTCTCTCCATCTCCCCTAAAATCTTACAATCGAGAAAATGTGGTATGTTGTAGCATATATCACATTTCCTCAATTCAAAGACCCCCCCCCCACCCAAACAAAAAATCGAATTTCTAGAATCCAGATGGTGTCTGAGACTCAATGTCAGAAAATTACTTCATACTACAAAAGTGCAACCCGTAACACTAATCACGGAACAGTAAACATAGATAGCAACAAAGGACATTTTGAAAGTATTTCTATGTATTTTCATTGTTACGAATGTCAGTGCATGTGACAGTATATAAAGCACCTGATGGGGGCTTGGAGGCTCAAAATACGAAGTAGCTTCAATATTAACTGATACTGTGCAATGAAGAGAGACCATCCATTGTTCACCTGTGCTCATTGTTGTGTCTTAATATACCCCCCCCCCTTTTTTATGCTCCAGAAGTGAAGTTTTGGATGGGTATTGTTGAACGCTTAGTTATCGGCTCAGTTCACTGTTGGGTATAGCTTAATGCTGCATGTGAGTGTATTTTAATGTTGGCACAAAATTTGGAACCCCAAATACCAAAGGTAACTGCCACTTTACAGTGTCTTTAAAATGGTGCTGTTATATAAGAACAGCATTAAAATGAAATGAATAATGTGTTGTACAATCAGTAGCATCTCCCTTCCTGAAAAATATCTTGCTAGATCAGTGATGCATTTTAGAATCAAGGAAATACTGCAAATGTCATATACAAGGTCCATTCACTAACTTATATGCCTTATGGAAGCAAGAAGTGTTGTTTGTGCATGTAGCAGTATGTTTCATAATATATCTGCCCTGTGCCATCTATATGGCACATTTAAGTTCATATTTATGACATGTTCTTTCTTTTACAGTGTTGAAAATTTATCACACCTTCAGTAACTTTTCCCTACAGGAATTTCTTGGGTAATCTGAACAGGAAAATCACATGGGGACTAGGGACCAGATCTTGACTGTAGGATGACTAGCTTGATTCCTGAAGCCACTGACATGAAATATATATGCTATGTTTTTGGGTATCATTGGTAAACCCACATTTCATCAGTTGTTAACACACTGAACACAAACCTGTCTACATTCTGATTTGAAAACATAATTGTCAGTACTGTTCTGTAAATGGGCACATGCGGTAGCATGGTTGAGGCACTTGCTACAAGCCTGAAGGTTGTGGGTTCGAGTCCTGATGAGGTGGATTTTTTTCAATTTGCTTAATCCTTCCAGCTGCACTGTGGCCCTGGTGTCGTCTCAGCCTCTAACAAAAGTGAATACCAGGAATCTTCCTGGAGGGTAAAGGGTGACCAGTATGTAAGGCCGACAACCCTATGGGCCATCACAGCGTGTTAGCATGGATAGCTTCCTCCCACCCACATAAATGAAATTTCACTACACTGACCATCACTGTGTCAGAGCCTGTAATTCTTCAGATATTATCTATGTGAAATGCTATATTCCAGTTATTTAAAGGATCCAACAATAGCCACATGTGCCGGCAAAGGCATCTGAGGATAAATGAGCCACTTTTTGGAATTGGAAAAAGGCCATCATCAGTAACTGCCTGAAATAGAATGCAGAAAATCAGAAAACCATAAAGGGCAACTTGGTATTGTCCCTAGGATATTAAGCATTTCATGCAGTTTGAGGAATGGGGAATGACAGGCTGCATTCAAATTCTGGAAGGAACTGAGAAACATACTAAGAAGGTGTTAATATTAAATTGAGTGTGTAACAATAAGAATAATTTTAGTTTGTGGTCTTTTGAATTGTGATGCTGTATAGTCTTGTAGAGATAACAGCTTGCAAGACTGCCTTATATCTCAACCAAGAAGGCTGCTGAGAAAACCGCATATTCCATAATGTGAATAAGACTTGTATGTACATATTCATGTTATTTATAGAAAAAGTAACAAATCCATCAGTGATTTGCATTGATGTGTGTCATTATTTTAAATGTAACTTACTTCCTTTCAGGTAGCAGCAAATGCACCAAAAGGTATTCTACGTACACCCCAGACAATTCAAAGATTCCAGCAGGTTCCAACACCTCAGGGACAAACATCGCCACTACTACAGTATTTTGGAATATTGTTGGACCAGGTACCAGTGTGTGAACACTCATCCTTTCATCTCTGCTTATTACAGTGAACTGCAGTAGCAGAATAGCATTCACTATCAGTCTATGGCCATATGCCTCGTGAAGAATAGATGACTAATAACATACATGTATAATTTTTCATAAGCCTTTTTTATTCCATTTTATGCCCATTATGCTAGGTTGGTTCGCATTGTGACTGGCAGGGGAGGACCACAGACGTTCTGTCTCTCCCGGTGTCATTTAACATTTTTGTGTGTAATTTTCACCATTTTTTATCACATGAGTTTGTCTTGAAAGGATTCTGACGATGGTGTATACTGTACTTCTTTTGGCTTATTTTGGACTTCACCCATCGTCCGGTATATAAAAAGACAAAAAACCACAACATTTCGGAAACTGGATCAATCACTGGTCCAGTGATTGAGACTAGCTCTTTCTAAGGGGCCCAACTGAGTAGGTTAANAGAGCCAGTCTCCGAAACGTTGTGGTTTTTGTCTTTTTATATACCGGACGATGGATGAAGTCCAAAATAAGCCAAAAGAAGTACATGAGTTTGTGTTTATTACAACATTTCTTCCTCTTTGAGGGATATGCATTTTCCCAGATATTAAGGTCCATTACAGTTATTAAACTGCTGTCTCTCCAGCAAACAGTATTCCCTTCTATCCTTGGTGCTGTTCACAGTTTTGGCACAACTTTTATGGAAGATGAGATGTATGATCATGTGGACTTCCCACTGACTCTTATATTCAAGTTAAGGTGTCGGGACCTGACCATGTACATCTATGTAGTGCGCTGTTAGTGGCCCTTGTGTCATGACAATCTTGTAGCTGTGTGTCTGACCATTCCATTTTGATGTGAAACCACTGTGATACAATCCCTTGCACCATATAAGCATAAATATTATCAGGTGTCACAGTGACTAAAGACAGGGTTCGGATTGGTAATCGGATTTATTGGATACTGTCACATGTCACAGTGATTAAGACGTGGGTTTGGATTGGTGAATCGTCTTATTGGATCTTCACTAGTTGTAACTACAAATAATTGTAACACTTTCAAGATTACTGTAATTGTAACAGGTCTTCTATTCACTTCTCATGTAAGCACTCTGTACTAGTGTCTCAATTTCCCTGATCTGTACTGGACTCTCCACACTGACTTAACCTTAAACAGATATTCATTATATAGGTGCCACACGAACAACACAGAAAACAAGTCATTGATAGCTAGTACTGTTGCAATGTGACATCATTGCACCTGCGCAGAAGTCTGCTTTCCCAGCCGTTGCATAGAAGCGGATTGCATAACCTCATTGTCCCATTGTTGTGAGTGTGTATTGCATGTATTTACCAGTCCGTTACCTAGCAACACACTCTCCATCCACATTACAATGTTTACAGGTCATAACTACAGATAATTTTAACACTACAGAGCACTCCAGGCTAATCTTTCTAGTTTATCCCCACTAGTCGTCTCAGATTTATAACACAGGAACTATAAAAGTCTCCCTAAATAACACACTCCCAATACTACTGCACTGTAGCACACAAAAGTCTTCAAATCAGCTGTTAAATATTCACAGGCTGACTTCTTGTGCTGTTCTATACTCCTCAAGCTTACTACTCAGCTGAGGGATTCTGCAGGCTTACATAGACACGGCACAGATACAGACCTACAGAAAACACATCACATGATCAATATCCAGCCAGTCCATTGGCACTGTGGCTGGACCTTCAAAAAAACATGTCACATGATTTCTAACACTACTGTTGTATTATTGGCTCTGTGTATGTGCGTACGTGTGCTGCGGACATTGTCGGGCAGTGGCTTTACCAATATATTCAATGTAGACAGGAGCCATGGGCAGTTATTCCCTTTTGAGGGGCCTAAAGTTGCAGCTTGCCACTGGTGTAGGACTTGCTGGTGGATTTCTGTTTACCTCGATATTCTAGAAGAATAAGTCCCAGTGTGTTTCTTCAGATCATGTTGTGCTGGAGGTCCTCAGGCCAACACAAGCCAGAAGATGCATCTCCCCCCCCCCCCCCCACAAAAANAATAAAATTGTAGGCTCAGAGTTCCAGAGTGAGGATGTAATAATCATGGTTCCTACATGCCCAACACATGCTTAATCACAGCATCTTTATAGTCAGAACATGAAACCATCTCAAGTCAGTATTATTGTTAAAATTCATTAACTTTCAGGCTACTAGACTAAAATACCATGAGAAATATTCCGTTTTATACACTGAAGGTCCTTGACAGTATTGCAGAAAGGTAAAAATGCAGCTTGTCTGGAGACCCAAATGCATTTGGTTGAAGTCTAATGAAAAACAACCAGAGGTACTTCTGATAATGAATCTCCTTGGATTGTACCCAGTACATTGTCAAGAGGCAATCTCAGAATTCCTTCCAGGTAGTCATTGGCCCTGACTCCATATAACATGTCAGATGAAGAGATCCAAACACTTTAGGCTGGTCAGCCTATCTCCAAAACATGCAGACTAGTCAGAGAAGGATGATCACAAACCATTCCCACTTCACACACTCTTTTTGACATTGAAGTTTCAACAGTGCCTCACACTGTCTTTGTGTGCATATACATCCCACACCTTGTATGTTGCTTCAGGTGTTAGATTCTAGACCTCCTTGATACCAGTGTGCATCTGGTCTTCTCTGTGGCAAGACAGGGCAAGATGAGGCACCATGTCCCAAATCCTAATTCTGCCTCAGGCCATCAACTGCTCTGGTACATCATTGGTTAGCTCTTTCTAAGGGACCCATCAGAGTAGGTGTCCCCCCCTCCAACCTGAGGGCAGAAACAGATCCAATTTCAGAGACGTGTTTTCTAGTTTCTACAATACCAGACAATGGACAGAGTCCAAAAATCCAGTAATTCTGAGTATGTTCTGTGACACTTTATGAGAGCTGAGTTGGTGTACTGTCACAAAGAAGTGTATTCCTTTATAAGAGTATTAAGTCAACGATATTGTTGCCTGACAACACTCACCACTACACAAGTGACATACGTGCCATTATATTTTTTCTTAGTTGTATCTGTTTGTTTCATTGTTGATCATTGAGCATGTATACTTGCAGTCAAGTCTCACACTACAAAATCAGGTATGAGCTGTAATCACAGGATGTGCCTGCATGATCAAGTTGCAGGTAATTCCAGTTTTACATGTTTTGTCATAATGTCACCCTTTGACACTGCCGCAGCATATAGCAGAATAGCTTTCTGAAGCACTTGGAGCAGAGTCCTTGAGAAACTAATAGTTTCCGAGCTATTTGAGAAATTTACAGTGTATTATGGAACCTTAATGTTCATTACCATGTTCACAAAAACCTTCCACTGGTCTCATTCAGTAGTCTTCTGTTAAATTTCATTAAGATCAGTTCTAATTTTATCACAGCTCTGTGTTGTTCTTCCATGGGCTCTCCTTCGTTCAGGTTTTCCTATCAAACCTCTGTGCATTTCTGTTTTGTGTGTGTGTGTATCACATACCTCCCAGTAATATTTAGTGAGGAGTAAAAGTTTTTAACCTCCTCAGTATGCAGTTTCCTTCAGTCTGCTGTTACTTCTTAGGTTCACATATTCTCCTCAGCTCCCTGTTTTTTGACACCCTAATTCTCTGTTCGTTCCCTAATGTGAGAACATTTTTATGCCATATAAAAGAAAAGATAAAAATTACGGTTTCATTTATTTTAATCCTTATGTTCTTATGTCACTTTCTACCATTTTCTACCATTCATTAGAGTCTGGTGTGAGAAGACAAAGGGAGAAAATATGGCCTTGTATGGGTAGTGCCATTGCAAATAACAGCCTATGAGGGAGCTAAATGCATCATAGTAACCATATATCTTGCATTTGAAAGGGCATATATCTATGGTAATACATGAAGCTCATCTTAGTTATGTGTGTGGAGATTTATTTTTGATGATCTTTTTGATATTGTTCACAGGGTCAGCTGAATAAGTATGAATCACTGGAACTGTGCCGGCCGGTTCTGCAGCAGGGTCGGAAACAGTTGCTTGAAAAATGGCTCAAAGAAGACAAATTAGAATGTTCAGAGGAATTGGGAGATTTAGTAAAACAAGCTGATCCAACCTTAGCACTGTCAGTCTATCTTCGGGCCAACGTACCAAATAAGGCAAATTCAAATGTCTTGCTTTGTGAAACTTTTGACATACGTTTTTCAAATGAAATGCGCCATATAGGATTGTTAGTTTTAATTCTGTTCTCCCTCTCCCATTTTTTTCAGGTGATTCAATGTTTTGCAGAGACAGGTCAGTTCCAGAAGATTGTATTATATGCTAAGAAAGTGGGATACACACCAGACTACATCTTCCTGCTTCGTAATGTGATGAGAGTGAATCCTGACCAAGGTGTTGCGTTCGCCCAAATGTTGGTTCAGGATGACGAGCCTCTTGCTGATATTAATCAGGTCAGAGGCCAGTAGTAAATATTTATATCATGGGGATATATTGATGAAAGATTTGAATTAATGGGATGGTATAGAAATCCAAAAAATGTTTGCCTTGTTGACTTCCTTTACTTTATAACTTGGTTGTTAACAGTGTCCACTTATCACACACTCCATTATTGAAGTTCTCTATAGTTTAAGTACATCAAACGAATTTCTTACATTTGTAATGAAGATTACCATCTTCTGAGATATAACACTGTGTGGTTTGGTAGACAGGTATTAAGGTTTCGCCAGAATGTGCTGTGTTCATCCTAAGGGTGGAATGGAAGCAGCATGTCCAAAATGTTGGTACCTGTCACATCAACTAACATGGTATCACAGCCTAAGCAAAAGTAGTCTTCATGGTTGACACCATGAGGACCTCAGATCTTCTACATTTTTAAATACATCATTGTAAAGTCTGGTATATTTAACATGGAAATGAATAAATATTTTCAGACTCGAACTACATAAAAGTTTATTCGCGTTATATCTTTAATAAGAATTTATTATATGCTCAAGGATCTATGATTATAACCCATACTTAATGGCTGTTCACACACTGACAGACTGTGATAACTTCTATGTTATGAGATCACTTGGAAGCATAAATTTTTAAGACTGATTTTAATTGCTCCATGTTCTATGGCAGGCGAGATAGGTACATAAGGATTTTTAAAACTGATTTTAATTTCTCCATGTTCTGTGGCAGACGATATAGGTACATAAGGTTCTTAACATAAAAATATAAACCCTTAATATTTTATGTAAAAACGATGATTTCTTCCTGGAACTCCTTCCATTCTTTCATAAGGATTAAAATATATATAATGAAAAATTGAGCTAAGTCTCATTTTCTTACACTTTGATAATTTTATCTGTTTTGTCTAATAGCAGATACTAAGTAAATACAACCTTGTAAGCATTTGGAGTGTGTTTGTTTCTATTCTTTTGAGGGCATACGGTTGTGATGATGACTAATGATTTAACAAAGATCACAATAGAAGGCAAAAACTTCCAGGTTTGACACTGAGAAAGAAATTATTCTCCATTTTGCAGATATTCTTTGCCCTTGCTGTGTAAGTTATTCAGTACCAAATGCCTGGATGAAATGTTCAGCAGACATGCTTTTATTTAGAAGTTTCCAGGTTTGAATCTTAGTCAAAAAATAAAGTTTTTCTGTTTTCCCCAGTTCCCCCAGGCAAATTATCAGACTTTAGGCAGTACCTTTCATAAGGGGTTAACAGTTAAAGCAATAAATATTTATGGAAGACTTCTAATCTTAGAAGGATTGTGGGTCCTAAATTCACTGGCATAAATGTTGCCATATTAGATAAACCTTTTAGGAAATGATGGTGTGCATATGATAAAAAAAATTGAACCTCAAATTTGTACTTAATGATAGTTTCTTAAGATAAGTTTACAATACAAGTTTTAATGTCTTCCGGTAAAATCATTTTTTTTTTTCAGTTGCAACTGAAGTTTCAGATATTGGATACTCTTTCCAGTAGTTTCCATTTACAAAATGCATCCAAAAATCTCCCTCTACTATTACA